TCTTCTCAGATACGAATCCCAGAATTCCATTCCAGGCCTAATATTCAAGACCTATAAGGTTAAAAACGCCTTGGAAGTGAAGGTCCTACACTCCTTACACTGAAGGTCACACACTTTAACTAGCTCAGAGGCTTCTCTGACAAGTTTGAGTATCTGGTTTCTTGATTCACAACTGATTAATGGTATGATAATTCCATGAGGAAAAAATTAAAAAGAGAGGAGGAGAGGTGAAAGAGGAGAGGAATGACTAGATGCATCAGTAAAACTATCTGAAATCAGAGTATTGCTAGAAGAATTCAATATATATAAAACTCTGGAATAAAGGGAGGCACAGAAATCACAAGAAACAGGCACAAGAATTTGAGTGGATTTAAATGACAATAGTAGAAGGCAATTCATTTCTACAACCTTAAATAGCCCCTTGTGGACATCCCAGCAGAGTAATAAGCTGTCAATACCCTGTCACAGCTATTACAATGACCTAGAACGATGATAGCCACCTCTGTGTGAAGTTCCCATATTTGGGTCACCTTGCTAGACACTTTGCATTAGCGCATAGTAGGCACATAACCACTATCACAACAGTTACCATTAATTATCATGATAGCTAGGGTAAGAGAGTAGACCCTTTCTTTTTGCATAAAATAGAACAATGCATAAAAACAGAATTCTATTTTAAAAGATTTTTTTCCCCAAATCATTCTTTGTTCTTTAAATATTTAAAAAATAACCTTTTGTAGTTAATTTTTATTTACTTAAAAATCATTTAAAAAATTAAATCAGAGTTTGTTGAAGCAGTTTCTTCACCAGTAATGCCCAATATGTTAGACATCTCTAGACCTCATATGTTTCATAAAAAGAGAGTGGTATGTATGTATACATATGTGTGTGAGGTGGGGGTTGGGTGTTTCTAGGCTTTTTGGTTTTATTTTGTTTGTTTTCATACGTGTTTTAGTTTCTCTGTGAGCTTTTTTTTTCTTAAAGAAAGTTAATCAAAAGATCAAAGTGGCATCTGATTTTCAACTGTATTTCATCAGTCCCACAGGAATAATTTATATTCAGAACTATAAAAATATTACATGAAATCTAAAGGTATTATATATTTTTCAAATGCTAAAACATGAAATTTTAACAGGAAAACCTGTGAATGTCCAATAATGTGAAATATTGTTGCGTATCATATAGATTTTGGTAATACCAAGCCTCCATTTTTATTTTAATAACAACAACAGGAGATGAGTGGACCTGGATCTTTGCCTTCTTCTTTCCTTCCACATCCCCACTATGTTCCCATGCCTTCTTTCATGTTCTGAAGTGTACCTTTCTGTTCACTTTTTGCCTTGGTGTCCGGATTTGTTCACATACCCCCTGACCCTATGTGTGCATTTTTTGTACCTTTCTTAGTGTCTTAATTTATTTGTTAGTCTCTTGCCTTTGCTGCTTCATGTTCTCATTCTTTTTTTTTTTTTGAGTTGGAGTCTCACTCTGTCGCCCAGACTGGAGTGCAGTGGCCGCTCCCGGCCACTGCAGCCTCGACCTGCTGGACTCCGGCGATCCTTCCACCTCAGCCTTCCAAGTAGCCGGAATTACAGGCATGCGCCACCACGCCCGGCTGATTTTTTGATTTATTGTAGAGATGAGGTCTTCGCTGCCCAGGCGGGTCTCGAACTGGTGGGCTCAGGCAATCCACTCACCTCAGCCTCCCAAAGGCGCGGGATTACAGGCTGAGCCACCGAGCCCGGCTCATGTTCTCATTTTTTTTCTGAAGTTTTTATTTACATTTCTCTACTTATAGCTTTTCTGTCATTCTTTGCATTGAATAAATTGTAACATTTAATTATGTTCTTCACTATGTATTGTACTTTTTAAAAATAGAAATGTACAAGTATTCATTTATATTAAATATAGGCCAAACTTTTATTTTTAAAATATTTCTCACTAAGGGAAAAAAAAGGTTTTCTATCTTTTTATTTGGTCCTGGCTATTAGTTGATATGATTCATAGCACCTAATTTAATCAAACAGCATGACTCATTAATGACCTACATGTTCTGAAGATTCAAATCAAAATCATAACAGGTATATTTTTAAAAAGAATATGTGAAAGATAAAAATGATAAGTAGAAATTTATTATCCTGTAAGTCTCCAAATTTCACTATAAAACATATTTTTGCCTGGTCTACTTATTTATGTGGATGCAAATAAGTGTTAATCACTTCTTACATGCCTTATATCATCCATGTCTCTGCATAAATTTTAAAAATATTAATAATAATGATAACATTTTTAAAGAATATTAGAGCTACAGAGATTCAGTTGTCTTCATTTAATCATAGTACACATTACATTGTCCCATCAACTAGGAAAAAAATGCTTCCTACAACAATTAAAGCAAAGGCCATATTTAGGAAATTGTGAAATGAATTTTATTCATAATCTACCATTTTTGTCTTAGTTTACTTTTTTCCTATTGACCAATCCTCATCAACAATTGTAAGCCTTTAAGACATGAAATTTACATTAGGCTTGCTTTTTCTAGATTATTAAAAATAAGAGTATATGGTATAAATATTATTTAACATAGTTTTCCTTTATTAAAACAAAGATTATATTTATTTTAGATTGGAATTATACAATTAATAAAATTGAGTTTTCCAGCAAAGCAAGAAGGGCTTGAAAGATAGAAATATGGGTCTTATTTTTATTTTGGAAATTTAAAAAATTCCTGTATAAAAAACAAAAACAAAAAATTGTGTCATGAATGTCATGACTCTATTTCTAAGGTATCAACAAGTGTCTACCAATCTTATCTGGCAAGAGTAAAAGGAAGAATTGTATCACTGAGTGCACTGCAACAGAGATTATTGCTTAACTTCCAATTAACAATTTTGGTTCTACTTTCTGCATTACAGAAAGATTCCCTTATGACTTTGTTAGCGTCTCATAGTGTCTATTTTCCTAGATAGTCATAAGTAAATAGCAATTTGATTATTCATTTGTATTTATCTGCGTTTTTCCTCGCTTTTATTTATGTAAAGTCAAATATTGAGGCTAACTTAACTCAGAGGCATGCCCTTTCTCTGGAGAGTCGATATGTGTTTAATAGCACATGCAGAGGAATTTAATCCTTGGCTCCCTAAAAGCTAAAAAGAGCATGGATCATTTGGTCATGTAGAAGCTTTGTTTTTGAAGCACATGAAGCTCGTTTTTGGAGTCTTATGTGGAAGTCTGTGACATATAACACATAGGCTTATTCTAACAGATGGATTTTTCTTGAAATAACTTCATTAGTTAATCATTTCTTTTACATATACTTTTTCTAGCTAATTGGCATAGCTGCCAGCTGGAGCTGTTAAGGATTTTCCAAGGAAGCTGATAGGTAGGGAAAAAATCCAATCGTTTCACCAATGCTAAGATGAAACTTCTATTAATTTCATACTGATCATAATGTAATTTAAAGGAAAAACATTTTTTAAAGTTGTTACTTTTTTTCTAAATATCTTACTTGATCTGTATGAAAACGAAATCAATAAATCAATCATCTGGAAGAAACTTTAAATTTTAATAAAGTATCTAGACCTGATTTTCCAATCTTGACTCTATTGGCAGTGTAAATCAGATAATTTTTTTTGTTTTTGCGGTGGGCTGTTTTGTGCATTGCAGGCTGTTAAGCAGAATCCCTGGCTTCTACCCAATATTTGCCAGTAGCACCCCCAGTTGTGACAATCAGTATTGTCTCTAGACATTGCCAAATATCTCTGTGGACAAAATCACCCTAGTTGAGAACAATTGCTCTAGAAGCAGGTTGTTCCTAATTTTTAATTTAATTCCTAAAATAATTTTATGTATGTATGTATGCATACAACTTCAGACATGCCTAGTATATTATAAATTATTGCGTTTCAATTAAACAATAAAATGTTATAGGGAGAATTATTTAAGTACCTAATATTTTCATAAATATCTCTGAGTAAAGAAAAAAAGGAACTGGTGGCTTATAAATACCAAGGAATATTAATTATCTAAAGAATGCCACTATCATCTTCATCATCAAAAGTATTGAGGATGTCTTTTTTTTTTTTTAAGGAAAGTTTTCAGTATGATTGTATGAATAGATAAATAAGAAATCATGTGGTAGAATTATTTGAGATATAAATGATTAATTATCAGTCTAGATGTCTAAGGTACTTTTAAATAAAAGAAAGTAGTGAAATGGACACAGAAAAAAACTAATCTGGATCTCTTTTGACTTTATGGTGTACTTGCAAAGTGATTTTGCTCATAAAAGGGTTAGTTATTGAGACAGAGAAATTTCCTGGTCATTGAAATTCAGAGTAAAATAATGATCACCACCTTACTGATTTTTCTAGGTGTCACATAGGAATCTAAGAAGAGTGCCAGAGAAATAAGATGTGAATTATCATGACTTTTCAAAGGACGACCATGGTTCTATTTTAGTTTACAGTGAAAGTAAGACTATAACAATATGAAGTATGCAGAGAGAATAAATCCTTATGTTAAAAAAAAGTTCCTAAATCCTATTCACATTACTTTCTTTCCAACAAAGTTTTCAAATACAGATTTTCTCAAGAAGTGTCAGATATAAAATAAAGACATTTTTACATTTAATATTTAACCCCTCCACCCTCAAAATTAAGGTTTTTAACCTAAAAGTTCTATAGCAACTGCTATACTCTGTGAGATTTTCCAGACCCATTGCAAGAATTTAGATTTTACACTTTATTTTTTTTAAAATCACTATTCTTTTTAATAAGAAATGTTGTTTTGCGCAGATTGCCATTTTTAATTCTTTCAATTCACATTCAGAATACACTGTACGCAAAAGTAAAATAACTCATTCTGCATTCTGAGGTTTCAACTCAAAGGACTAGAAATCGTGTATGCATGTATGCTGGGCTTTCCCTGGACACCATGGCCTTCGGATTGGTTTTAAGCCACACACCAGGCTCTCTGACTCGCAACGGGATTTGCACACTTACTCTCTGCGGGTTCTTTGGAGCGCCGGCCGCTGGACGACTTCCGCAGCAGGCTCCGCCCCGAGGTAAAGAGGCTGGTCAGTTCTTCCAAAGGACTCGTGGGAGTCCTGGATCGAGAGCCGCTCTGAGCCCCGCCGTAGGTGCTCACCGAAGCGTTGACCATCTTGGCGCCATCTTGCGACACCGGCCTGGGGGTCGAGTGAGGCACTGATGGAGAGCTCCTTGAGAGGCTGCCTGAATGCACAGCGTCGTAAGGGGGAGGCCTTTTGAGGCTCAGGGGCGTCAGGGACCTCCCCATGCTGACAGGGGAGGGCGAGGTGGAATGACTTTTAGGGTAGCCATGGGGAGACTGGGTTCGGTACAAAGTGGAAGGGGGCGGAGGAGACGAGGAGAGCACTGCAGTGGCAGAAGCAGGTCCGAGGGCTCCGGCCTGGTCTTTCTCCAGTTTGACGTGGCCGGAGGAGTGAGATGGCAGCGAGGACGGCGACGCTCCAGCTGGCTGTTTCATGTAAGACACGTTTTCCAACACAGGAAGCTTTGTGACCTCCAGCGGGGTGAGCGGAGACTCGTCAGAGTTGGGGGAGCAATGCACGGGGGCTGGAGGGAACACCAGCAGCGGGGGTCTGTGAGAAAGCAAGTTGGGAAAGGGCGGGGGGATGTCACAAAGCAAACCCTTAGGAGTACATGGCACTGAGGACTTGGCGAAGTCCAAGTCAGGCACCGTGGGAGTAGCACACTGCGAAGAACAACTGTGATGGTCAAAGTCACATTTGGCATCTTGGCCTAAGTCGTCAAAGATGGGGTATTTCATCTCCTCGTAGACGGCCTCACTCTGGTCGTCATCCTCTTTCCTGAAGTCTCTGAGAATGTTCCCCACCATCTCGATGTACACGGGTTCCTCTTCCTCAGGGTCTCCCGCGGGGCTGCTGACGTGGGACAGAGAGGAATCCCGCGTGAGCGATGTCCTTCGGGGCCCGTGCTTTTTGATGTACGTTTCATCAAAAGATGTGCTAAGCTGAGTATTTGGATTCCGTTTTGGTTTGGGAGGAGGAATCTTCTTGGAATATTCATCACTGTGGGGTCTTGGTTTGGCAGACACTAAAAGAAGGGGAGAAATGTAAAATAGTTAAGTATGATAGGAAAGCTTTCAAAAAATGATTTGCATTTGGGTTTACTACTATAAACTTTTGGCTAGTGGAGTAGTCTGCTTCATTCCCAGTTTGAGGCTTAAACTGTAGATCAACCAGAGTTACAACGTTTCCAATACTTGGAAAAACCTGATGACAGGATGATAGTAATCTTATCTTCAAACATATTAATAATCCAATAACTGATAAATGCATTAAAGCCAGGACTCTTCACCCCTCTGCCTTAGAATTTCTAAATAGAAGCTTTCGGATGGAACTTGCTGGTAAAAAATGATAACAAATTTCGTAAAAATTAACCTGTAAGAATAAAGTGAGAAAGAAATTCAAGAGGAAAAAAAAAAAAAAAATCTAGAAAGTCTGTTAGCACAAATGGTCACAACAATAACAAAGAGATTGAGCCCTTTTACTGATGTGACTATTATACATGATCACATATCACTTGCATTTAAGATAAAAATTTCCCAGTCTGCTGAACTTAATCTCTGTCTTGGTTCAAATAAATAACTTCTATATAGAGGGGCCTAATACTTCAGAGGAAATTGTTGCGAAAACCTTATGAGGCTAGACAAGTTAATCTCTAAATCTCCAGGTATTGTTGATTATGGTGTATTTGTCTGTTTTGGGTCATAAGATCTCTAGTGATATCCCAAATGTTGTCTCAGAATGAATTTATTAGATATTTTCCACTGACACATCAGAATGCCTTCAAGAGTTTTAAAAGAGAATGACTCAGAGAATGATGTGGAAGCTTCGAGAATAACTTCTGGAAACTTATAACAGATCTGTGTACCAATGCATTCCACAGCCTGCTGGAAGCCCCTTTTTTGAGAGAACATAAACGTCTGACACCATACGGTAGGGCAGAATAAGCTGGCAAATGTCTGTAACTGCAATAAATTGTTTAGCATGCAGGGAAGGTACTTGAGTCTTGTTAATAACTCCTTTTGTTGATATATGCTTACAATGATTGTCATTATGATGCAATGTGGCAGAATGTAGTTTCTTACAGTAGATGGTAGCATGTAGTGCAAGTTGACGGTGTAACTTAAAGTTGTACAACTATGAAGAAATAACAGGGTTATCTATAATTTGTAACCTAAAGAGAGCAATCTCAAGTCACAAACCAAGATACATGTGAATTATCCTTTATTTTTTTCAACTAGCATAGCTTACAATACAGGAGTTCTTCTAAAACTTACTAGAGAGAAAAATGCTTAAGGATAAGTTAGACGGATGGTCTACAGGTCAGCTAGAAGTGACTATGTATCTCACTTTTTAAAGTCATTCCCGATTTCAAATATTCTGTTCCCCTGTGCCCACGATGATAATTTTACTCACAATAACCTAACAGCTTTTTGTTTTTGTTTTTGTTTTTGAGTTGGAGTCTCACTCTGTCGCCCAGACTGGAGTGCAGTGGCCGCTCCCGGCCACCACAGCCTCGACCTGCTGGGCTCCAGCGATCCTTCCGCCTCAGCCTTCCAAGTAGCTGGAATTACAGGCATGCGCTACCACGCCCGACTGATTTTTTGATTTATTGTAGAGATGAGGTCTCACTGCCCAGGCGGGTCTCGAACCCACGGGCTCAGGCAATCCACTCACTTCAGCCTCCCAAAGGCGTGGGATTACAGGCTGAGCCACCGAGCCCAGCTCCTAACAGCTTTTTTATTGGAAGGTTCTTAATGTATCTAGACTTTCTGGTTTAACCCATACTGGAAAAAACTAGATGTTATTCTCCAACGGGCTATAGCAGTGAACTGTTTTACTGCTCAAAGTGAAAAGCCTAGAGACATACTAGGGTGAAAACTATGTAGTTAATCTTTCTGTAGGAGGGCCACAAGTCAATCAATACCTTGTACCACACAACGTGGCTATTGTAAATTTAACTGGTTTTGAAATCTACCAGGTATATTAATTTTCACATGACTTGGTAAATCATCAGATTATATATAAAAATATGAGCCTTGATAGAGTAACTTATAAATCAATGCACAAAGCTGACTTAGTACTAGAAGAATTTGGAAAGAATCAGGACTTGGAAGAACGAAAGCCCATTCAGACTAATCTGAAGTTTGTCTCCTGCCACCCTCGACTACAGAGATTCACTCTAGACTAGGTAACTCAGGCTCTGAGAAAATATTTGCCACAGATATTGGGTTCTAAGGATTGTATGGTGTGGAGTTGAGGAACTCCATTGAGGAGAGGAGTCTGAATGGAGGATTAACCTGAGTCTAGGAATTAAGGATGTTCATGAGATGAACAATTATATTTAGAAGAATTTCATTTTTCTCTCTCTTAAATTACCACTCACTTTTGTTTTATCTGACCCTTCGCTAAAGTCTGATTACTCCAACACAGACTATGGAAATAAATAACAGGACAAGAATTCAAGCATCTTCCGAGCCTATACCTAGGTAGCGGCACTGCATTGAAGTGACACTATACTGCAGGAGTCTCACACAGTGAGACTGTCAATGGTAGATCTGGTAGTGGTATTACATTCAGGGAAGCAGTCATAAATGAACAACATTGGAGACAATATCTCTTTCCCACACAGATTAGAAGGTGGCCTCTGGAATGGACGAGACTAACAATTGGGATATACCCAAAATGTGAGCAAATGACACTTCATTTTGTTTACCAAAAGAAACAGAAAAAAAAAAAAGAAATAAAGACCTTTTATAACTCTATCCTTTATAACAATGAAATGATTGAAGATAATTTTGTATTGCAGAACATATATGTAGAATGAAGGCAGAACAAGTATTCTTTAAGAAACAGTCTGGACAACCTGTTTACCTGGAAAGAACAATTACAATGACAAACCGAGTGCAGATGTTGTCTGACAAGATAAACAAAAAGTAATATATGACTTATGGTGACTGTGAGATGGTCAGAGCTGACAGTTGCTATTGACTGAATTGGACCACCATAAAACATTCATATGTTGAAGCCCTAACCTCCAGTGTGATACTATTTGGCAATAGATCCTTTGGGAGATAATTTGGTTTAAATTGGGTTATGAGGGTGAGACCCTAATGATGTGATATGTGATTATAAAACGAGATGCCAGAAAGTCTCCCCCAGCTCTTGAGACACCAGAAAGTCTCCCCCAGCTCTCTCTCTCTCTCTCTCTCTCTTTCTCTTTCTCTCTCTCTCTTCCTGCCATATGGGAACACAGAGAAAAAGGAGTAGAGTACAAGACAAGTAGAGAGCCCTCACCTGAGACTGTCCATGCTAGCACCTTGACCTTGAACTTCTAGCTTCAAGAAAATAAAATTCTGTAGTTTAAGTCACATACTTAATTGGTTATGGCAAAAAAAGCTTAGCTATCTAAGATAACAGTATATCAACTGAGTTCTATGTAGAAACTCCTTACAGTTGAATGATGAGTACCCACTTTAATTTCATCCTCTGCCACTGGACTATTTTAACTAGCTTTGCCATTTTAATCAACTCTTTCTTAGCCCCTTAAATTTCTTCTGCCCTCTGCCTCCTACCTCCTCCTGCAAGCATATCACAGACAGCACATTCGAAGTACATTCAGAATTGCTTGTCCCAGATTCCTGCCAGGAGCACCCTTCCACCACATGGCCTGTTGTGCTGGTTCATCATGATCTGACTTTCCCACCTCTAATTTGCATAAGGCACATGCTATATAAATCTGATTCATTTTCTGGATGTTTGTGTTTGTTGTTGTTTGCCTCAGTATACTTACTCCCTGCTCCACACTGCTTTGCTTCATTAGCCCACAAGCTGAAGTAATTATCCAGTCAGTCTTGTCCAGAGACTCCCTCACTATCTGGGCAAGCTTCTTTCCTCTTCCTTTCCCTGCTTGGTGAGGAAAATCTAATGCAGACAGATTGACATAATTCAAGCAATTATTCCCCCAGCACTACTCCTTAGTGTTGATCCAAATGAGAGTATGAAGATAGAGAATAGTGTTAAGTAAATTACACCAGATGATTGGAAGAGGTAAACAGATCCATTCATTCAGTATGGGGGAGTGGGCTTAAAAAAAAAATCTGCTTTCCATTCCATACCCTTCCTCTTTGCAGTCTCATGTGATGAAATGTACTCAATGAAATTGTGGACCTAACAAAGCAGAGTTCTGGAAGAATGTGAAACTATGATTCTCTGTGGAAAATCAGAGGAAGAAACCATTTCTCTTCTAATGAATTTATTTTTCCCTTTTATTTTCCATGTATCTTCTGATTTTACTTCGTGCAAGTATTGAGTAAATAATTTATAGAACACTGAAAATGTATTTTAATTGTTATTGTCATATGTGATGTTTCAAAAGTTGATCTCTATAAAGAAAAGTCTGAAATGTTAGGTAACACTGTCCATAACTTATTTTATTTTAACCTCACTCTAGGAAATTAAAAATTAAAGAAAAAATTATTTAAAATTCCATTTCTTTAAAGGGTACTTAAAATAGTCTTGAGTTACACACATAGATGCTAAGATGTAGCTAATAAAAGACAATAAAACTACATTGTAAATTTCAACGTTTAACCAAATTCAACCATAATATAAAAGTAATTTTTGTCATACTTGAATACATTTAACCTATTTCTAATAAGCCCAAAGATAGAAGCAAAGTCTTGTTCAGCTTCAGAACACAAATTTTAATGCTTAAAATAGTATAATGACAGTAGCATTGAATAAGCAGAAAGTGACATTTTTGAAATGAGATATCTGAGCACAAAGGTTATGCATGGTTATCAGTCATGCCCAGATGATCTGTCTTTCACAGTTAATTTCGGAAATTCTCTACATTCTTTGTCAACCCATCTTTCAGGAATACTTTTTTCTTAATTTTTTTAAAAGTATAATGTAAAACCACACTTCCTTATCTGAAGTTGTTATTGACCCAAGAGTTTAAAAAAAGAAATACAACACAGGTCAGCATTCCCCTTCCTGGAAAGATTCTGTGGCTACCGAATCCCA